CCCCAAAACCCCAAAACCCCAAAACCCCTTGCGTAGAATTTAAAATTAGAAGAGAACAAAAATAGTTAATGCATAAATAGAGCTAATTTTCTTATAAGATATTTAAATAATCGAATCAAAACAAAACAATGACGCATGCAGTTCTAAAGTTTTTACTAATTTCTTCTATACTTCATTGTATCTCTTGTTAACTATGCAATAGAGGTGAATTTTACAACAAAGCTTAATCAAAATGTGACTGTAAAATAATGACTTTTCCTAGTAAATAAATTTTAAATTAGCTTGCAATGCTTTCTGTGCTTCAGGAGATTGTGTTGATGGCACCTTACTAGGCTGCTTATATTGCTAAGACGAGAATTTATACAAGGACTTTTCAAATTTCAAGTGTGTGGAATAGTGCCTTGAGAATCAGTTTAGCTTCAAAACAGAAAGGGGTTATCAGCAATCAACAACGTTACGATATTGTAGAGGTACTAATTTATATTTTGAGTTTTAATTTTCTTAGATAAAGTATTCTATATTGACAATACTGACAAGGAGCAAGTTATTGAACTAGGAACCCTAGATTTCCCTTACAGAAATTTAGATGATCCATTTAGAGAGATATTTAACTAATAATCATAAAACAAGCCAACAGTCTAAATTCTTATCAGAGAAGGAGTAAATATTACCTAGTATTCAAGTTAAGTACCCTTACTTTTACTTTAAACAGATGCAACTTTAGGGTAAAGAATATATAACCATTTAAAATATATTTAGTAAATATAAAGTACTGACGTAGTAATTTTAAAATATCAAGCCTCTAATCTAGACTGTTGTCAATATAGTTGAGACTTCTTACTAATGAACATCTAGTCTGTTTAATCCAACTATCACATCTGATGGGTCTATAATAGATTATGATGTTAATGGCAAGATTAAATAAGATTTGATGTCATTTTAAGAAGCGACGGGATCAAAATATAAAATACATGTTTATCGCTCTAATTTGCTAATTAAAGATCTTTCATTCTTTTAAAGCTATATAAAAGAATCAACCTACGAAAACAGTTTGGTAAATGCTGGTGTAAATACTTATAAGTGGATTGTATTTTAGAATTGCTGATTTTTCCTCAAATCTTATATATACTTTACTGTTGAGGGAGCGAATTCATTGTTCATTAACAACCATATTGATATAAGTTAAGCTGGATTAATTTACTTTTAAAATATTAATGAGTGCGAGATTTATTATTAGCACAATAGCACAGGATATATGATTTTAGACGGAAATTATTTCACTGGCATTAATCCATTGACCTATAATCCTATGATTTATCTTTAGTAGAACGTCAACTTTACAATGGTCAACAACATTTTCGAAAATATTTAGTTCTTCAGCAATGTTTTAAGTATTCAGTATGACACATTCTAATTTTACTGTGAAAAAGATATGCTTTTGCTCATTGATGTAATAAATAATACAGTTAAGAATAGTGATATCTTGAGACAATCAAACATTTTTGTCACATTATCTTTAGAGTATGTTGAAAATTTAAAGTACAGGGTAAATATGACAAATAATAAATTCTAGAACGTTATTTAAGGTTCTCTATCATTCCTTAGAATTGATGCAAAGTAGACTTACAATGTCAATGTCACTGTATAGGATATTTTATTTATTGATGTTATTAATTCAATTGCAGATTCTAGTTTGATAACTATATAAGCAGAAAGCACAGTTATAACTGCTATAAATATTTATAACTCTAGTATATCAAGTGCTCTGGATCTATTAGGGTTTAATTTCTAAGTTCAATAAATTCGCCTACAAAATGCTACTGGGAATAATATGATTTCAACCTAAAACTACATTATCTAAGCTTATTAAGTTTAGAAAATTGAGATTAAAGAAATTAATATTATTTA